CTACGAGAACATGAGCCGAGGGACATCCTATGTGAATCTCTGCTTACTTCATTGCATTGCGCTACCAGAGTCCGGAGTACATTTGCATTACAAGAGCACTCAGGCGCAAGGTAAGAAAACGATCGTCCAGTTCACCAGTGCATTTCATTTCCATGCACTCCGTCCATTCTCTGTTGAAATACGCTGATGCATCAGGAATTCTCGTACACCAAATGATCAGTTTCACTTCTGCGGACAGCCAGTAGTTAAATCTTACAGATCATTAGCGAAGAGTTTGGCTTAGCCCAACACTGATGCACAGCCGGATATGCACACAGTTTCGCTCCGCTCCTTAAACTCACATCTGCATCGAGGCGTTGACTGTAACGTAGACAGCAGTGAGATATTCTGTAGACAGCCTAGTTGACGCGATTGCCACAGTCAATCAATACTGCACTAAGTTTAGGTTCCATCTGTGAAGAAATCTACGAGAATGATCAGTTGCATGCAGAAGTGAGACTAATAATTCAACTTGGGCCGTTTGTGGATTTCAGTATTTGATGTATGAGAATTTTTGATGCAGCTGCATACATATTTGTTGATCAAAGAAGCCATAAAAGTTTATTGAAGATAGCATACATTTTGGTTTGCTGAGAACAAGACGACTTACCGGACAGTTTCAATTGTCCCTGAAGAAATTCATCATCAACAAAAGCCACTGATGACATCAGACGACCGCCGAATCCGGTAGCTTCACTGTTCTGGTCTCCTTGAATCACAATATTCGACGAGAGGATGGCCACTTCAGCCCCTGTTTGGAATTGTTGGTCTTCATACCGTTCATTGTAAACTAATAAAAGGAATGGTGAGAAGAAAAAAAGAGGAGTTGATTGCGTTTGTTGAGAATTTGAATGAAATCGGATTTTTCTTATACCACTCTGCTAGATACACATCATAGGATATAACAGGTTATTTGGTCTACAAGCTAATTTGTGCGTGCCTTGTTGCATTAGCTGCGAACAAATTTATTATAAATCACGCTGTCGTTATTTTTATCATAGACCAAATCAAATTCAAAACAGTAAGAACAATTTTATGGACTTAATCGGGGGAGAGTTCAATGGTTTTCTGAGTTCCATTGACTTGGTTCCTTGGCTTCCCGTATTGTCTTCCAGATTCATGATTTCAATCGGACTTTGTATAACTTGTCCCCCAAATTTGTGTATCCAAAATGTTTCATTTTTTGGTAAACCTCTTTTTCTAATACCAGTCATTCATTCCATATGGTCGCGTTTTCAGGGTTAATCTATTGTGGATACTACTCTCGATGTGAGAAAATGGGTAGAAGGCAAGCAACATACACGGTCGCGGCGATAAAATCTATGCATTGAATCTATGTACAGACGCGTTGATTACTGAAACAATATCAGTGTTGAATAAATTAATTCACCGATTAATATACAATGCATGCAGTTTGCACAATTGTACTGCATTTTTTATGTATTACCAACTGTCTTTTCAGCTTCTAAGGGTGATACGTTTACGAAATGCTTGAATCTCTCCTGGCCTCGGATATTTCCAAACAAACTTGAGCTTGTTCTTCACATTCAGGAAGCGAGCGAATTCCAAAAGTATACGTTCAATGGACTAGTTAAAGCACGTCCATCTTCCTCTACCTACCCACGTGGTTGTATTGCAGCGCATCGGTCAGTACAATTGTTCGCATGTCTGCCGAGATTTCCTGAATCTGTTGCACCTCAGTTTGTAAATAGTCTTTGCTCGTTGTGGCGATCACAATCCGATCACCGGATTTCCAGTTCTGCACGGCGGAAGACAAGACCAGTTGTTTCGAGCCGGCTACCGCGGTCTGAGCCAGACGTGTCCAGGTGGAGGCTTTGCGATCCGCGAACATGATGATTTGACCATAGTTTGCTTCAAATGGAAACAGGGGACATGTGTACGGACGGATGGGGTTTTGTCACAAGAAACACTGTTATTTTGGCAAATCATAAACTGAACCGAAATGTGTTAAAATTCCGGTTATCTCTCAAACTTTAAAAACTGGAATATGTGACATTCAATCAAACAGCTTAGTCAATGCCTCCGACAGAGTCACGATTTCAGAGTCCAGTGATACTCTTAGCACGATGCACGATACCTGGAAGAATGGGTTTTGTTGTACTGTGTATAGACAAAATTAAACAGTCTCATCAACTGCGCGGTGTTTAAGTAAACAGCATGCTCGTACAAAACTAAATATGTCTCTGTTTTGGTTTTGATTGGGGTTGATAAATCTGCCTTGCTCTTGAGGCCCCACAAAATTGAAACAACTGTGTAACGTTTCTTGGCTTCTCAGTTCACGTTTACTTTGCTTCGGTTAGGACGATGCTTTTCATGAAATCGGATTAAATTCCCCTTTACTCAGTGACAGTCGAGCGGTGGAGAAATGTCTGTGAACTCATTAACATGATTCGTGGACAAAGGAGGAGAAACGTAAACGTTACAACAAATAATGTTCCGGTAGTTACTGAGGTGTTTATGTCTACATTTGGACAGAAAGGTGTTGATAAAAATACACGAAAACTCGTTTGCTTGATTTGCCCCAATCGTCATTAACGTATGTGATAACACCACCACCGCCTCGTTTGTGAACCGGAAGTTGTCGGTCAATTCGGCAGATTGCAAAATTGTCGATTTTGATAATGTTGTCATTAATTTCATTGTGGATCTATCATTGAATCACAACGAATCTCCTGAAGCATTTAGACTCCGACCTTTGAATATTCACGTGTTCTTGTTAGATGTATTACTTCTGCCATATTACCAAGCAGTGCACATACGAAGAGTGCACATATCCGCTGATGACTGCTGGAATACAGACGTCTGAAATTGAGCGTTTGCTTAGTGCGACCTACCATCCAGCTCGATGTTTCTGGGAAATGTTTTGAGATTTCCGTAACTTCTTCTTTATCTCTGTTACGAACCGATTTGCCCAAAGAAGGTAAAATCCAGTGACCGGGAAATTTGAAGTTGCTTCATGTAGGCAGCAGCGTACTTTACAGAATTCAGAATGATCATGGTCGCACAACGTTTCTGTGGCAACAAAGGAAGTGTATACCAGATAAAATCTAGTGAAGAGTGATAATGTGGTTCCGAGTCGGCTGATCTTACGAACCTCGCGGCCCAATTCATAGGTCCAGCGGAATAAAGTGGCGTCAAACTCGAAATATTCATGCTCTGCTGCTACTATAAGTGACCTTCAACCTCGCAGATAGAATCAAATTCGAATGCCCGATTTAAATGCTCACAAAGCCGAAAGTTGTCTATTCAGATACCACACATTGCAATGTTCGTTCAAAGGATGATAAGGATAGTGTATTCAAGGCTCTGTTCGTTCTCTATCCCTTGGCTGTTGAAATGTTTGTCACTGCTATTCGCTTCTACATTTTCCACAGTTTTACATGGCCCTATCTTTCCATTCATATTCTTCTCATATCCTTCAAGATGCATCTTGTGCTGGACGGGCGACTTCGTGCTCTTTTTATCCCCCTGAAATAATCTAATGCTCGTATTGTTTGGGTCGGGCTGAGAGCGCAACCATTCACCTTGTTTGTTCTTCTGCTCCTAAATGACACCCCTAAATCAATTTGCTCTCTGTCCGTTTCCAAGCCTTAATAGCAATGTATTTGCTCTTCTGGCTTGCAAATCCACTGTATTCGTTTTACTTCAAGCACCAGTACAACGCGCTAGACCACGCCCAACGTTGATACCACGGCAAGCTTAAAAATATTTTTTTCAAGAAGAATGGAATTGTTAATCAAGTGTCATTGCGCTGCTCTTGCTCGCACCTACATTATTTTCACTGTCATGCACCAAATCACGTTCAAATAGATACCCTCTCGCATTGATAATTTATTAGCATTTATGATTATACAGTTGGTCTCTTCATTGTGCATCATACGCCTGCGGTAATAAAAAGGGTTATGACTAGTTGATGAATAATCTTTGAAGACTCAATCCATGTCCATTTCGTTCAGGTCGAAAAATCAAATAATCATGAGAATCACGCAGCCATTAACACAACTTGCTGATTCGATTTCTAAAACGTATTTCATCCGGAATTTATTTAGGAATGATGATGATGATGTTGTATTGGGGCACTCACCGATCGCTTTAGGTCCTATTGTTGGCCCATTCATATTCGTGAATGCATCGCTGTCACTTATGGAGCCCAGTAAGGTCAGCCGCAAAGTGGCGTTTGTTAGCGGAGCGTCCACGCTGCTTCCGACAATCAAACTTCCACCACGTATAAGCATTTGTTTAAACGAGATGTCATAATTTTTCGGGCTGTCTGCTGTACCGGAAATGATTTCCAATGTTCCGTCGATTTGAATGGTGCTAAACTCGATTGCAATTGATGTGTCCAATACCAGCCAAGTTGAGGACGGAATGGTCAACTGAATGGTAGTTAGGAAAAAGAGAGCAAAATTTCACGACTGAATGAAAATCTCAATACTGAACGTGAACAGATTGTAAAAACTTTTTCTACGAGTTTGTTATAAAGTTGATCTGACATTTGTGCTTCATTGCTAAAGCCTGTAATCAACCGATCGGGCATAATCCATTTCAATCAACTAGTTCAGGTCGGGAGTGCTCCGTCCGCCAGTCAGAGCGTACGACGCTTCAAATATAGCCGCCGTGGAGCATCACGGACGAATTCCTCATTCAGATATCCACTCGCGCGCACACACACACATGCTGCATCCAAAGCACTGACAACAGAATCAATCGTGTGTGAGTCTTACGAACCCAATACTAACTCACCCTTCTTTGACCGTAATTACTGTAGAGGTTTGGAACATAGAATAGTCGAAATTTCATCTAGTGCTCACACAAGGATAGCAGAATTTCATGGATGAAATGGTGACCACTTAATACGATCAGTGACCAGCATCCAAATAATGAAAAATACGACTTTGGTGAGTATCAAATGAACAGTGCAATCGAGAATCCCCAAGCGATCGGTATGCACAAACTCAATCCATCAAGTGAGTCTTTCTTTCAGTTGAATTACTTGAAGAAAAGTTCAAAAGAAAAGATGAGTGAAATGGGGAAACCGGGATTGATGGAGGACTTACCGAACTTCTATTCGTTGGCAGTGAACCAAGAACACCACCCCACGTGGAACTGCTCGACCAGAAGACCGCATTCGCTGGGCGCCTTGCGGATCCAACAACAGCAATTGCCCCGGGGCCAGTGCAGTTCGGATAGAGGCACACGTAGGCACTGAACTGCAATTGATAGCTGACAAATCTAGACGGTATTGCGGGATATTTGACTGGAAACGGAAAGAAACAATAGAGAGCTGGGGTCGATTGGGTGAATATATTGGCGTAATAAACGTACGACCTGATAGATTTCACTGTGTTTCAACCAAACAGTGTTTCCGTTTGAATGAATGAAAGAGAAAGAGCAGTTACTTCTAATAGAGCTCATTATGGAATCATCGCTTATAAGAAGGAATTTGAACTACATATTCATATTGCTTATGCGTAGCCCCTTGGTATAAATGATAGTGATATGAACTGAGAATTCACTGACTGACTGACATTGAAGGCAATAACGGAACGGTAAGAAGGTTCCAATCCACTAAGAGTTGACGGGTGCGGGAGTAAGACACACACCACACACACCTTCAATGTGATGAGTCCGGGGTTTAAAGCAACGGGGAGGGGTTGGGGATTAGGCACTAATGATGAGTTCTTCTGTGAGCAAACTTCGAGTTTAATACCTCTCCCATGCCTTGACTCCAGATATCCTGAAAGATGTAAACCAGCCGATTGTGAAATGCACTGAATAAACTGAATTCATTCGAGGAGCATGCATTAATCTCGGCTTCAAGAGGTTGTAAAGAATCGCTGGAACCGGATTGTTCNCCCCGAACAAGACAGTTCAAGTCAATCTTCGGATCTCGATCAGGCAACTGGACACAAATACAAAACAGCCGCATTGAAATACATCTTTGAACCAACCGTTCCCCTCTCCCCGCTTTCCACCACACACCAAAGTTTACAAAACAAATGCTCATAGACATGGGAATACGTTGTTACCACCGATGAGTCTTTATATGAGTAAAACTGGGCTGGAAAATAGCATTTATAAAATGTACGTGAAAATCAAAGTGAACCTCGACAAATAGTTCATGAGACCTATCGGTGGTCAGAAAATACACTGCTCTCAAATTAATCTGTGCTTCCAGTGTGTTGAGATTTCCCTCACTCACACACAAGGCATGTTGAGGGTAGTTCATAAGTTTTGTGTGAAAAATACGTTTTCTACCGAATTCACAATCGTAACCCCCTGACGGAGTTTAAACTTAATTCAATTTAAAATCAAAATATGCGGAGCATCGGGCAAGTGTTTTTCTATGACCGTGGCTGCAGTAGCACTTCATCTTGGAACATTTCATAAGTTGCGCCCTAAGACATGGTGATTTATGTTTCGACGAGTAACAAGTGATGTTGAAGATTGGTCAGTCGTCAAAACACAACGATTCGTGCGTCATGTTTTCTGCTCTGATGCAGACCGTAAAATCTATGTGTTCTCATGATCTCCGCGCCTAGTAGTCACATAGTAAGAGCACAAATAAGTCAGATGTGATGAACTTTATGTCGATCACCTTTGTAACTATATTTAGGTCACGGAAACAAAAGTATTCGGCTGAATGAGGTGATGAACCAATCCATTTAAAGTGAAACGGAATCAATGGTACTGACGTAAATATTCCACATATTTCCCGGTCGAATTGTAATAAACATCGCCATTCGCGTTGACTGCCGGGTTCAACGGTTGTGTGGACGGGATAGTTTCTACACTGTTCTGCAATACACGAACGCGATCCGGTTGCCTTTCAAAACCCACATGGCGGACTATTACGTAATCGCCCGGCTAAAAACAAACCATGGGGAGGAACAATAGGTAAATATGAGAATATGGTGACAATAACATTCTGTTGATAATCCCCGGGTGGTTCCCTAAAATGTTTGACATTTTGTTTAATAGGAATTGTAAAATCTGTACACAACTGATGACATATTTGCTCTGCTACTCGAGGTGTCCTATTTAACATTTTTTTCGAAACAGAAGAATAACCCGTGGCCAGATCTGAGTATCCTTATCAAAGATGGAGTAAGAAGTTTGTGAACTATTGGCTTAGCGTTAATCTGTTAGGCCAGTGAACGCCGCTTTAACACAGTGAAGCATATGTATTAGAATTCCTCATGTTGAGCTGTCCTCCACACCTACCCAATTGGTTTCGTGTCGGTGCCAATTTCGTTTTAAACATGCTAAAAACGATTCACTAACCCAAAATGTTTTAACGGAAATACATCGCTCACTATACACTCGCAGTGCCCCACTTACACATCGCATCGATAATAGCTTGGCACCCGGGGTAGGTATGTCCAGGGTCATCAAGTGCATCGTTCCAGCCGAAATGGCAACATGCACGCCCTCTGAAAAGCGCCTGCAGATATAGAACTGTACCATATGAAGAGCTGGTTGATTGCGTGTGACCGTTTGTGTGACTCCATCTTTTCCGATGCGTCACATCCCTTACACACAGCCCTATCTAGCTCCATGTCAACTTCTGTAACCCGCAATAAATTTAAACTTGTATATACTCGTCCAAACGCGTTTCACAACTCCGTTGTACCTTACCTTTCACGTTTGTAGGTTTCTAGGGAACGAATATCAAACGAATTTATATACAGTCCAATGTAAATTTTCAAGTTGAATTTTTTTTAAATTTTTTTTACACGTCCTCCGTGTCCTATTCACTGTCATCTAAGAAATTATTTGTTATATCTTTAAGCTGATTTTTAATAGCGTGTATACCAAAGAAAAAGTGATAACATTCTTTTTCTGAAAATTCTCTCCACATCGGATGAATAAAGTGTACTCTTGACTTGACTTTATATCATATATCCATATCCCTACATTCAGAGAGGGTATGATAGTAGTCGTACGCGGACTTCAATTCAATCAGACCGCATTTGTAGATTGGCACGAATATAGTCTACTCTTTGTCCCTCTATCATCCTGTTCTCAATGCCATTGCAAAGATGGTTTTGATAATGAATGATGGCAGAATGTGTTGACTAATTCAAGGACTATAAGCAAAAACAAAATCAAAATATGCATGGGTTGTGCGCCAAAAAGGGTGATTAATTATAAACACATTTTACTCAAAGTAGAAGCGGAATTCATTTCGTTTTCCAATAATGCCTAGTTCTGTAGACCAAAGCACGAATTGATTCG